TGTGCAAACATGAGGCGCTTAAGGGTGACAAAGCCAATGTGATAGCCTACCTCGAACCTGTGTCATACTGAATGGAGTAGGCTGGCATTGCTGGTTTTCCAGTGAGGAAGGAGAAATGGCAAGGCCGTACTGTAGCAGTGCACCTGCTTATCTCCAGGATGTAGACACCGTGTCTGAGCCCTGGTTGTAGCAGACCCTGGCACTGTCACTTTGAGCAGATGATTTAACCTCTGGGTTTTAGTTTTTCAATCAGATCCACAGCATGACACATTCTCTGTTTGATTTTTATGGAGATTGAAAGCTGTAAAGCACCTGAAGACCTTGCTTCCGTGTCCAGCAGAAAGCACACTGCTGTCTCTGTCACTTTGTGAATACTGTGAAGTGTGGTGTTAGGCCAAACTACGATAGGGTTTGAGGCCCTGGGACTCCAGACTCCTGCTTCAGGGCCCTTTCTACCAACCTGAGAAGCTAAATGTGACACCTGCTTGAAAATGTGTTTATGAAAGTGACGGGAATGAAGGGAGACCATAGGAATCTAAAGTGAAATATGAGGTTGACGCTTTTGAATGACATGGGAAGGTATTTCCCCTAGAACTCATGTACATTTGCACATGTACACAAGCACACACACATATGCACCCCCCCACACGCACTGCCATACACAGTCTGCATATGTGTGTTGTACTGCTGTGCTCGTCTGTGAAGGCACCTGTGGAGACGAGAGATATATTGATGTTGAGATATATTCCTCCATTACTTCTTTCCTTTATTATTAGTGTGTGGGGTGTGTGGGATAAGGAGGGGGAGGGGGAAGGGAAGGAGGAGATGCCCTAGGGATCAGTCACCAGAACAAAGGCAAAGAACACTTTACCCATTAAGCCACCATCTCCTCTATGCCTCTCTTTTTTACTTCTTAAAAGTGCCATTGGAGGGCAGCCAAGAGCAATTGCTGCAGCCTGTGTAGTTTGCCGGGCTCTTGGGGGCTCACCCTGACAAGAGCTCACAGGGAAGTCTCTCATGCCTGACACTGAGATTTCCTTTTAACAACTCATGTCTTCTATGAGTGGAATTGTTCCCCATTCAGGATACCTATGTTCAAATTTCCCTTAAATTATCGTAAAAATTTGTTGACAAGCTAGTGGGTTTCCATAAAGTTTTTCCATATAGCCTTCATTGTTTAGCCCACTCTCTCACCTCTTGCCTCGCCTACTCCTCTGTCCTCATCCCCATTTAAACCTTTAACTCCCAGCATTTCCTCTTCTTACAGATCACATGTATTCATTGACCTCACCAACTATGTTTGACCCTATTGCTGATGATCTCATACATTTCACTTGCAGGACATAGAGAAATCAATCTCACGCCAACCAGGAAACTTCTTCCCCATTGGCCAGATTTCATAATGTCAGACAGTACTGTGCAGGCAGCAGGAGGAGGAAAGACATCAATGGTTTTACCCACTGTGCTGGCTAGATTTAGGCCAACTCCACACAAGCTAGAGTCATTTCAAAGAGAGAACCTCTCATGCATGCTATAAGAAAGCAGGATAAGCAAGGCAAAAGGACCAATACAGTGAGTGGCAGTCCTCCGTGGCCTGCCCTCTTTGAGTTTCAGCACTGACTTCTCTCAGGAATGGAATGTGACCTAAGAGTTGTAAGCTGTAACCATTCCTCCACATGTTGGCTGTAGCCATGGTGCTTTATGACAACAATAGAAACTCTAAGTAAGACATCCAGCACTTGTCTTTGCATGCTACAATACCAAGCATACCAGACAAGATGAACTCACTGGTGCAATAGTGGCATGATTGTTGCAGGGGCAACAAACTACGATAGGGTTTGAGGCCCACTGCATTGGGAAGAATTCGTGCCATGCACTATAGACTGTTAAGAGAACATAGCAGAGGAGGTCAGAGGCCTTATGGGGAAAATACTACTATTGCTGTTTTGATAAGTGGTTATGCTGTCAAATTATCTTCTAAATATTTATATTTATACTCATTGATTTTTTTTTTGATGCTCACACTCTTGACTAGAGAAGCTTCTTTTTGCAGGGGAGAATAATTCATGAAGACTCATAACTGGTCAAGGTGTAGAGAACTGTGAATGTTCACCCCTATACGGAACACCATTATCACCCCCGAGTCTTGGGGAACATCTCAGGAGTCAGATTGAATGTGAGAGCTGGAGGATGGGGCCAAGTGCTGTCTAGTGACATCTTCAGGATGAACTTTACATACGTCACCTAGCAATATCTATTGTCATCTGCACAAGACCTGCATAGGATCAAGTTTCTAGCAGAGATGGGAAAAAGGCAAGTTAAGGCCTCACTGTCCACCCACCCGACCTCAAAGCACTATTGACAGTTGGTGCCTACCAGGGGAGAGAGAATCGGTTTTCTTTGGATATGTGGCTACTTTTAGATTGCCAATGCTCCAGTCAACACCAGTTGAACCCAGTGCGTCTTTTTTAAAATGAAGAGAACATGTGGTTTGGAAGGGGTTGAAGAGGACTGAAGGTCATAAAGAGAGGGATAGTGGAAACTGGATATAATAAAAATACACTGTGTATGAAAGTCTCAAAGAATAAGTATAAAGAGGTATAAAAATGCCATTGGAATTTGGGGATGTCATTGAATCTGCAGATCACTGAGTAGTAGGGACATTTTAATATTAACTCTTCCAATTTATGAGTAAAGAATCTGTTTCTACTTGTGTGTGTGTGTGTGTGTGTGTGTGTTGTCATAATTCTGTTTTGATTACTAGTATGCACTGCTTATTATGTAGCTTTCAGTATGTGCATTTACCTCATTGATTAAGTGTATTACTAAGTATTTTGTTCTCTTTTGTATTTTTATCTATGAGATTGTTTCCTAATGTATTTTTAAATTATTTGTTATTGTACTGATACAAAATATTCTGCTTATTGTGTATCTTACAAATTTCTAACTTTACTTATTAGTTCTGTGGCTCTTGAGAGTTTTCTGTGCATATTCTTTTATCATATGTAGGTATAAGATTATGTAATTTTACTTTATGATTTGAAAGTCTTTTTTTCTTTTCCTTTACTAATTATGGTGACTAGGACTATTGATACTTGTCAGATCTAAGGAAAATTCTATTTCCCCAATTCCAAAAAATAGAAGGAACAATCTTTAGCTCCCTGTGGTGTCTATTAGCATACTAAAGTGTATGGTGGCCTACAGGCTCCCTCAGTATCATAAGTAGTATTGCATATTTCAAAGTTCATGCTAGCATCTTCTTACAGCCCTTCTTACCTAAACTTTGCTGGTTGAGTGGCTCACTCCCCTCCCCATACTAATTCTTCTTATAAGCCTGCTATTTTGGCTATGGGTTTTTGGCTCCTCTCTTTCTTTGTCTTCTTCTCTGTCTCTTTCCTCCCATCTCCCTGCTCTCCCATGTGTTCCTTTTCTCTATGCTTCTCTCTTATCTCTCTGCTCTGTTCCTGCTTCTATAATGGCCAGGTCCAGTCTGCTAAGCATGTTGAGTCTACTTCTTTTCTCTCTCTCTGCTCTGAACTTTTCCCAATGACTCTGGCTGTTCTCTTTCTGTCATATCTACAGTACAGACCTTCCCTTAACCATAAGTTGAGTGGCCATATTGTCAGTTAATACAATACTCTGTTGAATAAAAGTATTGGGTTAGAGATTGTGCTCAGTGGGAGAGCACTTGCCTGTCAAGCAAAAGCCTCTGAGTTCAGTCTTCAACTCCCTTCAACTCCTGAGGAGGCGGCAGTGCTCAGACAAGTCCCCTCATATTGCTCCCGAACTTTTCCAAAACCATTGAGTTTTCTTCCAGTTAGTATAATAATCTTGGGCCTCAAGGCTGCTCAAGAAGGAAAGTGAGGGGAGTGTTAGTGTTCTAGGGCAGGTACTTCCTCTGGGTTGGACATCACTATTGCCTGACATCATGGAGCAGAGTTTAGCAAGGTAACTGACAGAATGTAAGGACCTTGAATCCATGGTCATGAAATAAGCAAAAACAATACAGGGCTAGGAAGGTCTGTGGTAATGGACAAAGGGCTGTTAACAGTCTTATAAAGGGTGCTTGAAATAAGAAAAAACAATATAGTGCTAGGAAGGTCTGTGGTAATGGAAAATGGCTGTTAACACTCTTATAAAGGGGGCTTGGTGTCAGCAAAACCTCACCTGAGACTTCAGCCACAGCCCCTTCCTGCCCTGCAGCTGTCTGGGTGGGGATGGTGCTAGGGCACATAGGAAGTGCAAGTTTGCCTGTGGTTGGGCTTTCAGTCACAGCTTTTGGTGAGTTATCCTCCATGCTGTTGTGGAGAATTTCTCTGTTATAGCTGCTTTTGAGGCCCCTTCGTTCCTCTAAGTAACCTCAGTAAACTAACTTGTTCACCAACCTGGACTTGGATGGAGCTGTTTCTCTGCTCTATCAGAGCGCTCTTCTGGTTGAGAAGAGGTTTTTTCATATCTCTCTAAGAGAAACAGTGCAGAAAATAGTGATGATGGTCAAGACTGCCACACAATAGTGCTTCAGAGGAGATGTACTACACATTGGACATTACCTCTTCAATTATATCAACAGCCTAAAAGTGCATTCAAAAGATTCTCTTACACTGAAGTTTAAGTAGAATTTTGTCTGTCGCATTGCCCTGTGTTTATAAGGCTGGATGGTTACAGTGATATCACAGTGCTCCTTGCTTTTTTGTAAAAATGGTCTATCAGTTTAGATTATTCTAAAACACATAGGCAAATCTCTCTTATAAATCATTAGCACTGGCAAAAGTATCAAATTTTGAATCTGAGAACATATTTGCTTCTTTTATTATATCTATAGTAATTGCTTATGCTTTTCCAGCTGTTTAAAACAATATTCCACATCTATGTTGTTATAAAGAAGCAGAATTTTTTTTTGTTGTTGTCTCTTATTTCCATCAGAAATTTGTGGTTGTGAGGGATGACACTATTCAAGCTGTGGTCACCTTGATAAGAGAATCGGTTCTTATTCACCACAGACAAGAAGCTGCAAGGCTTCATCGTAAGAACCATGCTAGCACCACCCACCAGCAAGCTCCAGGACCTCAGCAGCAAGGTGCCCCAGAACTACAACACCATATCCTTCAGCAGGGCACCCCCTGTCCATGGCTCAAGTGCATGTCTTCAAGTGTCTGGATGTGGCCTACAGGAGAACCATAGCCCAACTCTCTTCAAGTGAAACATCAGAGGCATTTCAGCTAGCCTGCACATCTTCGCCTCCAGTCTGGTCAATAGAGTATTCACTTCTACCTATACCCTGCTGTATGTCTTCCTGATTGCACTACCAGTTTTCTAGAAACTTCCATTGTTTGTTTTGTTGTGTTGTTTGTTTTGGTTGTTTGCTGCTTTGGTATTTTGTTTGTTTGTTTTGTTTTAACAGGATCTCACTGTGTATTCCAGGCTGGCTAAGAGTACCCTATGGAGACCAGGATGGCCTCCAGATGGGATGCATCAGCCTTGTCTCAGCCTTCCAGAGAAGAAGTATAAATCTTTCAAAAAAAATCTTGATCTTACAGCTTTACTGCGGTGTAAATTCTAGGGGCAGGGTGTTAAGGCTTTGGGGTGTTACTTTGTACTCAAGTGTGAACCAGATGTATCAGAAGAGCTTCCTTACAATGCGGCATCCCAGGATTCAAACCAGGGTGTGCTGGGTAGGTTTACATCAACTTAAAGCCAGCTGGAGTCATTTTGGAATAGCAAACCTCAATTGAGAAAATGCCCCAACAGATCAGCCTGTGGCCAAGCCTGTGGTGCATTTTCTTGATTGATGACTGATGTGGGAGGACCCAGCTCCCTGTGGGTGGTGCCTCCACTGGGCTCTGATCCTGGGTGCTATAAGAAAACACAAGGAGCAAGCCAGTGAATGGCACTCCTCCACACCCTTGCATCAGCTCCTGCTTCCAGTTTCCAGCCTTGCTTGGATTCTTTCCCTGATTTCCTTAAATGGTGAACTGTGATGTGGAAGTGAAAAATGAATAAACCATTCTCTCTTTAAGTTACTTTTGGTCATCGTGCTTATTACATCCAAGGAAACCCTAACCAACTGAGACACAGTACATAAAAGCTGAGATCCAAGTGCTCAGGTAGCTTATATATTTACTCCTTGCCTTTAACAATTAAATTTAAAACCTCTGCCACATATTTGAACATGAAGTTTACTTTTTCTGACATCTCTAACTTAACTTTGGCCTTCTTATGCCTTTTTTTTTTTGGAAATCAGTGACTTAGAAAGCTCTACAAGTTGTGTTCATAAAGTGCATGAGCTCAGCACACAAATAATAGTATTTTATTAGCCTCATTGAACCTCCCACTCTCTGGTTAAGCAAGTCAGATTCTGCATATGCACAGACACATGTTCATTTATTCAGTCATTTGTCTTTTTAACAAATATTTGATGAGTTTCCATCCATAGGTGGAAGAGGGAAGTATTGTTCTGAGAGGCACTGGTGACTCAGCTGTGTGGGCTACTTTTTATTGCAGATTAGTGTTTCTGATGCTCTTTGCCAGATGTATTTCATTTGTTATTTGTTCTTTACAATATACAGAGCATCTTCACCTGTAAACCCAGGTTTCCACTATGTGTATTTTCTTTCTGCTTTTCTTTTTTTTTAAATCTTTCTTTATTCTATATATCTTTCCTTCTTACCCAATGGCTGACTGTGTAGTTGTTAGTGTGCATTGAAAAACATTCTTTCTCTCGGGGCACAAAGAAAGCCAGTACCACCACAGTTGGAAGAGCAGAAGAAAATAGACTATTGTCTTTAGTGACATGACTGGTAATAGAGCCTCCATATCACACTGGATGAGGCTTCAACCACTCTTTCTTTCTTTCTTTCTTTCTTTCTGTCTGTCTGTCTGTCTGTCTGTCTGTCTGTCTTTCTTTCTTTCTTTCTTTCTTTCCTTCCTTCCTTCTTTCTTTTTTTGTGAGAACAAACTTCTTTTCTTTTGTTGTATAACAACATCACAGACAATAACAGGGTTAACATAAAAAAAACAAAGCAACAATAAGATCAACTCATAGACTTACTTAGAAACAATGTTCACCTTACACTCATTCCAGACAAAATATTATAACAACTTTATAGACAGCCTTAACTAATAAGAACAGTGAAAAATCTTATGTGTGGGGCTTGAATTGGGATTGGCATGTTGGGATTCCAGGGAATTCAGTCTTCAGCTTTCCAAAGAACACTTAAGATTTGTAAATAACAAAATGGCAGCTAAAAATTAAATGTCAACCACTGTTTCTTTCAGTTGAATTGTATAAAACATCCCCACGTGAACCAATTTGACTAAGTTCACTGCCAACAAACACAAGAGTCTTACACCAACCGTCATCACACTCTCCTCGTGTCATAGCTACAATCAAGTCTACATGTGTTACACTTTCTCAGCTTTGACCAAATCTAATGTAGTCCTTGATCTCAAAGAACTGACTTCTTGGTCTTTGGGAACCACACACATTGGAGCTGCCTTTCCTCTTTTCAATAGGGATGCGTTTGTTTCTTCTGTATTAGCCTTTTCTAGTGTTCCATGCTCCTAACCCTGACCTGCCTCTGGTGAAGTAAAAACTACATCTAATCTTTTCATTTCTCTCTATTATGTTTCCCATGCCCATAACTCCTGCCATTACTTCTCTGGCCAGATGCAGAAAAAGGAAGATCCATTGCCATACTTCTGAGGCTGAGTGTGTTGAGATTGCTTGTGGCACCTGATATTTGAACTCACAAAGTTCCCTCATGTGGCAGTTACATTCTGGAGTCTCACAGCCATCCTCAGCCAGGTACTCTTCATCATAACCATAAGCCTGACCTCAGAACCTCAGAATTAAAACCTCTATAGTGGTATTCCCAAATCCACACCTTTAAGGAGGTATGAGCTCAAACTTTCCATTCTTCTCTGGAATTTTAGAACAACTTCAGCACAGGTGAAATTTTGTGGGTTATCCTGTTATATATGTAAGTAATTTAAGGTGAAGATCTTATTACATATAACTCCTTTTCATAGAAGCTGGTATCCTATAGCTCAGGGGTTCTCAACCTGTGGGTCACGACCCCTTTGGGTTGGTCACTTAAGACCATTGGAAATTACACATCATATTTACATTATGATTCACAACCTTAGCAAAATTATAATTATGAAGTGGCAATGAAAGCATTTTATGGTTGGGGGTCGCCACAACAAGAACTGTATTAAAAGGTTGCAGCATTAGGAAGGTTAAGAACCACTGCTATAGCAAGATAACTGTGTTTTGTGTACAAACTGATATGGAGACATATTACTTTGGGGGACAGAAACTGGTGTTATACCAAATTATACTTTTTAGGGGTACACATAAGAATAGCATGTGAACAATGGAAGACAGCTTAAGAATGGAGTCTCCAGGAAAAGATCAGATATCTGATGGCTATCCTAACGAGGGTGTCAAAGCAGGAATGTTAGAAGGAGTGGCTGGAAAGACTTGGAAGAAGCGAGTCTCCAAAGATTTCCCAACTTAAACACTTCAGAGCACCATGTGTCCCTTTAAATCAAGGGCATCCAAGGGAAAGATAAAAGCCCACTATATGCTTGGAGACATCAGCTTTCACAGGAGCCTGTGATGGTGTAAGTAGTTGCCTTTAGGGTGGAGCAGAGACCACTTGCATGTGTGAGGTGGCTACTGTGTATCCTGTGGAAAGATGAGAACGTAGAAGTTCCAAGGGCATTTCACAGGCCTGACACACCTTCTGGATTCCCAAGTTGTCTCTATTGTTTTTGCACTGCTTTTGGGGGTGGGATTAGATGGGAAAGAAGATAATGGCCTATGTTAGAAATCGTGAAGGAACTGGAATGGACCAAACTGGACCAAAAGTTGGGCACCATGATCCTGATTCTAGCCAGAAGAAGAATAGAGGCAGAAACAAAGTTGAATTCCTTTTACGTTCTTTCATGTTAAATTATAAACATCTCACTTTAGTCTTGGCTTCTGTACAGGGTGATACTCTTGGTTGTGAATGAGGGGACAAAACTAGTACTAGTTGCACTGGTTGCATAGGTACAACTTGTATCTATGCCCTGGAGTGAGCAAACCAGGATGTAGATGTAGTAGGCTTGATGACTTCAGCTTATGCCTGCAGTCCTAATGGGTAGGTAGTTTCTTCCTGCTAACTGCAGTCCTTTTATTTTGTTTAAAATGTGCTGTTCTTGAGCACTCTGCATGCTTAGCTGGCCCCATTAATGAGGCCAGTTTTACCTCTTTATCATCTCTCATCCCAGCTCTTATGTGTGTTCTAGCTGTACATAAGGACCTACTTGGCACCCACTTGGCTTACTACAGTAGCCTCCTATGTGAAGCCCTTGTCTCTAGATTTTTCCCTTTCTTTCAAGCTATCTGGAGGGTGCATTTGGTATCTGACACTGCACTGCTGTGATCCTTAAAGCTCTTCCCTGTTCCCCTGTGCATTGCATTACAAGTGAAGTACACACTTTTTCCAATGGCATAAAGGCCTTTCATAACCACCTCTGAGCTTTTCAACAATGTGAGCCTTCTCTTTAAATAGGATTTTTTTTTTTTTTTTGGTTTTCTTGAGACAAGGTTTCTCTGTGGTTTTGGAGGCTGTCCTGGAATTAGCTCTTGTAGATCAGACTGCTCTCGAACTCACAGAGATCCGCTTGCCTCTGCCTCCCGAGTGCTGGGATTAAAGGCATGCACCACCACCATCTGGCTAAATAGGATTCTTTAGTTCCATCTGCAACCTATCCTCTGTATCTGATCATTTCTAATCTCCTCTCTGGCATGACACCCCTCCTTCCATATCAAACACCAGACTGACCCCATACTCACTCCATTTTTCAGGTCCCTTAATTGCTTTTTAAATATTAATTTATTTCATTTTATGTGCATATGTGTGTAAACCTAAGTATATGAGCATCACATGGGTGCAGGTAGCTACAGAGACCAGAAGAGTTCTTGTTCTGGAATTGAAGTTACAAGTGTTTGTGAGCTGTCTGGTGTGGGTGCTGGAAATTGAACCTGGGCCCTCTGGAAGAGTAGCAAGTATTGTTACTCAGTGAGCCATCCATCTGTCAAGGTCCTCCTTAGGGTTTCTAGCAAAATAATTTGAGATTCTAAGAATGTGGTAAGTTGAGCATCCTCATATCATAACAGTGACTATTGGATATGAGTAACATTAAATTCATTCATTGATCATTTACCAATATCATGCTCTCAGCATTAAGTTTGGTCTTAGGAGAAGAAGGCAAGCAGAAGTTATTGTCTGCCAGAATGGAAGTCACATATGGGAGAGAAGGGACAAGGAGCTAAGAGCATGCATGAGGGAAAGAGCCACGGAAGAACTGCAAAGCCACCCCGGGGGGGGGGGGCACCTCCAGCTTTCCGAGGGACCAGAAGAAATGTACAGATAGAGAAATGCTAAAAGGCCAATGGGGTTTGTCAGGCAGAGAAGAGATGAAGACAAATTCCAGGAGAGGGAACCAGCATATCGTTCTATCAACTGGTCTTGAAGCCAATATTTCACTTACTGCTGCTGCAGATAGTACTGTTTTGAGTTTTCCATCTGTGGCAAAGACTTAAGTTAATGAGAACTGTGCCGGTTAACACATATTAGACAGGATTGTTCACGCCATGGTCGGGGTGGGAGTGTTTTCAGGTTGATTTGCATTCCCGGCCTGATGACTTCTCCTTCCTTTCCGTGCCATCACAGACTTTGAAAGTCGTTTTGAAAGCAGCGGTCTATGAACCTTTTAAGCAGCAGCACAATCCGAGCTCTTTAAAGCCTCGCTGATTCCAGCGCTATTACCACCCGAAACTCCTGTGTCGACTTAAATTCACATAGCATTCAGTGTTGATGGGTTTATTTGGGGTGTTTGGACATATTTACATTTGTGCTTAGGAAAGCATCTTTCTGAACTGTGACAGCAAACTGTGAATTCCACTAGGAAACAGGGCTTCAGAATATTGGCAACGTTCTCATGTTCGCTGGAATCTCTATTTAAGTGT